TAGACAAGTCCGGTTGCAGAACGTACAGCAGAAAGACTCTCCAGGTGATATTGACAAGACGCGATTCTTTCTGCGTTGTCTTTTCTCCTCGAGAGTGATCCTGCGTGTGTTCTCGAAAGCAGCAGCAGCATTATAGATGGTGTGTCTCCAGGCCTCCCGATTGGAGGCCAGGGTAGACCAATGGTTGTGTTAATTATTGTAGATAAGTCACGATTATCTATAGACTTGACTGCACTTAGTTGTCATTGCAAAAAGTCAAACTAAATGTCATTAAATATCAGTCATGATCCAAGAACTGCTCATGGCTGGTGTCACTAGACCCCCAGAAGAACTTTTCTAGGAATGAAGGCAGGAAAAACAGGGCTGTCCATAAAAGCCATTGATTCCACGTGTTCGGTGACCTAGGCAAGGTTTTCAGTCTCCATTTCTATAAACCAAGTCTTACCCTGAACTCATCCTACCTAATTCCAGGTGCTGGACCAAAAGATTCCAGGCTCCTTTTGTGCTTGGAGAAGAAGACCAGGAACTGTGGAGTACCTGAGGTTTTTCACAGGTTCATTTTCTATTGCGATGGACCAGAGCACCTCAACCTTGAAATGATTTTTATAGATCCTACCTTACATTAGAATACTAAAGACAGTACAGTGAATCTGGGAAGAAACACTCAACATCTGCAAAAAAAACTATCCTTGGATTTGATCCAGTAATCCAAGAATTGAAACAAATCTAATGAATATTTTTTTAGGTTGTCTGCCCTAATTTTCTCTTTTGTCCTCAAAAGGTCAAATAGGGGAAAAACACGTAATACAAAACATATCAATCTCTCCAACATAAAGAAACAAATAAGATTGGAGCCCCAAGACAGCTGCTTTATTTAGATAAATGCTGCTTAGAAAACAATTTAAATATTTCTGCCCAGAAAAAAAATTGGTTTCCTTTCTCTAGCGGTTCACAGAAAGCTGACACCACTTATCTATCAATATATGCCCTCAAAAGAACCCCAGAGCTAAACTCTCTGACTCTTCTTGCCTGAACACATGGTTTAATTCACCTGCCCACGTCTCTGCATTTTTTAAAAGATATTATTATCCTAACCAGTCATCAGTGTCTACCTGAAACAAGAATATCTGCTCCCTAGAAATGGCCCTTGAGTTCCACATGAAGGAAATCTGGAGTGAACTTCTCAGATGCAGATGTTTCCACTTCACTAGATGAATCACTCTCCCACAGCAATGGAGATGATAGTAAAAACCTCTTCATAATTCAATTAAAAACTTTCTGAATAATAAAATAATTGGTTTTCATTACACCACAGATCTACTCTCATCTTTTGCACAGCTTGAGTGTGGTAGCCTCCCACTGTTACTGCAAGATTTCTTTTTCCATCTTTTTCAAGTCATAATTAACTAGGGTGAAATCTTTCTCCTGGTTTGTTTGTGGGTTTTTTGGTTGGTTGGTTGGTTGGTTTTTGTTTGTTTGTTTATTGGGGGCTGTGTTCTTGGTTTTGTTTTAATTTTTACTTGGCCATCCAGAGTAAAAACTGGAATGTAGAGTAGAAGACAGAGAAATGCTGGTATTGAAAATTAGGTGTCTTAAGGGAGGATGTAGTGATTGAAACTCATCATTATTCTATAATCTTTCCTACCTTGAGCTCAGTATTGTTTGCAGAAAGGAAATAATGACAATATTTCCTTCTATTTTCAGTGCTATGAGGGTGCATCGTGTGTTTGCTTTGAAACACTGAGTGGAACTGATAAAAACCCAAAGGATTACGACTGAACAGAATCACATTTAACGTCTCTGAGGTGCAACTGTACCAGGATCAGAAAGCCCAGGGTGTGAAGGCAGTCCTGGTTTCCTCCATCCCCTGTACACAGTTCAAGTGCTATTGAGCATTTTTGTTGACAATTCAAATGAGCTGAGGTCAAAGTTTAAAAGGATTGCAATTTAAATCAACACGAAGAGTCCTCTGGAATGCTGGGCACTATCACTGTGACTTCTTTTGCTGAAACGAGATGAAATCCACAGCAATTCATTTTGAGTCAATGGTGTTAAACCAGCCTAAAACTGCAGTAAGAGAGGGCAGGGTGATAAGAATCTCTCTGCCAGCTGACACGGTTTAGGAACAGATGGAGCATTTCACAGCTCTCCCTCACTTCTCCTATAGAAAAAGAAGGTAAGAACCAACCCACAAAGTTTTAATTCAACTTGTAAGAGAAATCAGCCTGGGAAATAAAGAAAATTTGGGAATCTTACACAGAACACCTTAATAATAC